ATAATATCAACTTACAGGTAAACCACTTGGTTGAACGGAATGACCTCAGCAAATATTTAATATTTCACCAAGAAATGTTTATAATTGTTTCTTACAGGTAAGACAATTAGGTATTGTTAACAAACCAATAATTCATTAAAGGCGTCATCCAGATGTGTTCGGGCGGTGGACTACAGATAACCAGTGTGTCCCAGCAGTCTTGAGCTGTCCTCCCAAACTGTGTAACTCTCCTGGGACGCAGCTCTTAATATTATTCCTCTATCCCAGTCCATACTTTACCCTCTGTTACACCCATTAATACTTCTACCACTACCCATCACCCCTAACCACATGGTCACTGTATCTTTAATTTCATTATTCTAAAAATTTCCATTAAATCTTTCTGTAGTTATGGAATAATAATTTTGTGTCCAGCTTCAGCATCAACACAATTTACTTTTTTGAGAAAGACTTAAGTGACAGAGGCTTAATAAGGCCGATGTGTAAAGTGACTTAATATAAATTATATAATGGAGAAATAAACTCCTGCCTGTAAACCTTATTTGTTTTTTCTATTATAAAACCTTGAGTAAAATGAATTTGAAGACACAAGAATATATGCCCGGGTTCTCGCGAGATTCGTAATATTGCCAAAATGTCCATCTCTGTGCATCCTACAGATCGGGTGGATAAGAAGAGAATATAAATCGTGCAGAAAAATAAGCCGCAGGCCATCAGAGGCCCCTGTAGTTTCTGGGCTACTCCTCCCGCCTGTAGTGTGTTTACCCTGGGTGCAGTTTAGTAACCTGACCTAACATAAACTATCCTAATCTAATTTAACCTAAACTAACCGAGGCTAACGTAACGTAATCTAACCTATTCTAAGCTAAGCCAAGCTAAGTTAAGCTAACAATATGTTGACAATTATATTAGTTAAAAGACGCACATATTTTACGAATTTTATTAATACATATTTTCAGTAATATTTATAAAATGTTTGACAAATCAAAATTGGTACTAGGAAACAGAATATAATATTGGTAATAATTACACTAGATGACGTTATTGTGAGAGAAATGGTCTTATGGTCTTCAAAACTATACATGTACTGTATAACTGATGCAATTGACTCTCCTTGGGGTAAGCGTATACGAAGGATGGACAACATCACCAATGTACGGATAAACAACATTTATTCGGTAGCGTCTCGTCAAGTATCTCTTGTCGTCATCAGACCTAAAACGTAAAATGAAATATACAATCATGAAAAATACACTATTTGACCAATACAAAAATACATACGTCACTCAGTACATTAAGTGCCTTGAGAAAATAAATACATTGAACATCAAACCATTGAGTTAACAATTGTTAACCTTTACTTCACTGTATCTATAAAGGTGTAAAAAAAAAAACACTAAATTTAATAAAACCTTAGATCCTACATATGAATATACAAGTATTAATAAATATGTAATAACTATATTTTGTTCTTCCTTATTGTAAATTTGGTGTTCAAGGGATGCTTTAGGATGTGTTGAAGACATATTAGAAAAGTTACTAGCATAATCATTAGAGGTTTTGGGTGATTCAAGGAAATATTGTAGCCATAACGACCAGAAGTAAGTGCTACTGTATAACTAGTAAGCTGGAGACGACCACATTTTTACTTAAATGTGACCTTCGTCCAGTGTGGAGAGGAAGTGGGGGACCTTCCTTCCTTCCCATTACCCCTTCCACCTAGTGTTCCACTCTCTGTGCTTGCTTTCCCTCCCCCCTCACCACCTAGGTATCCCGGGCCGGTGTGCGGGTATATATAGCTGGTCCCAGGCAGGTAGCGGCATCCTCAGCTGATCCTCACAACGACAACATGAAGCTCGTGAGTACTGGCCAGTTTCACACACACACACACACACACACAAACAGGTTACATGCAGTAGACTGTTTACCACAACTGCGTCTACTTCATGTGTTGATACAACTGGATTTCAGTGAGGTGAAGATTGTCCGAGAGGAGGCTCTGCAGCTCTCCAGAAACGATAATTTTTTTGGATCTAATTATTACCGTAGGAACATAAATATACCTGCTTATTAGAATTGTAGATATTAGACCTCCTGTTTAAGCAGTCAATAAGCTAAATCATTGATATGAGTGTAAATTAAACTGCCACACTTTTAGGATTATAAGCTCACTCACGCGTTACCACACTGGAATATAACAAAGGTTTATTGCGTAAGGCAGCAATAATAGCTACTGTATCAAACAAATACATATTAAGAAGACGGATACAGTACATCAATTTAAAATAAAAACAGCTTTTGGCAAATTCACAGAGGTATAAAGAAAGAGTGTTAGAGGAGGCCACACTTACGTGACTTTTCAGGAAGAGCCACAATACCCATCCGTTTTCCTTCTCCTCCTGATACAGACACTCTTCGTCTGCCTCGTCGCCCTGGCCGCCGCCGCCCCTGACAGAGACGCTCAGACCCTGACGGATGAGCGTAGCGACCAAGGAGACGGAAACTTCCGCTACGAGTTTGAAACCAGCAACGGAATCTACACCCAGAAGACAGGTACCCCAGGCTCCGAGGGCCAGAGCAACCACCAGGGCTCCTTCAGGTAGGTCCTACATTATGGAAGCTGAAACACTTACTGTTAAAATTGTACCATATATTTTATGTGTGTTATTAATTCGTGGTAATAATGGTAAATTAAAATTTCTTCTAAAACAACGTGATTCCTTTCTCAGGTTCACCCTTGAGGACGGCACCATCGCTGAGGTCACCTACATCGCAGACGAGTACGGCTACCAGCCCTCGTCCGATCTGCTGCCAGTGCCCCCCCCTGCCCCTCCCCATGTCCAACGGTTGCTCGAAATCGCTGCGGAACAACGAGCTCAAGGCATCACCTTCGATAAGAAATAGGTTGAATGTAGACCTATTCCTCGACCTCTGTCCTTCATCGACCTTTCTGTATATAGTGAACTCGTGACCGCAGTTTTGGGGTATCCTCCAGCAAGCATGCCAGACCTCTGGACACAATCCAACGATATCACAAGCGTACAATAAATGTAAACTTTGCATTATGTCTCTGTTTACCCTTTGGCAATCTTAAAGATTCTTTTAAATCTGTGAAATACATTACACATCAGTAATAGAGCACGTCTTAGTTATATCTGTCTAATAAGAAAACAACAGACAAAGGAGTTGCTATAATGTCTAATGATATAAAACCGGAAGTGCTGAAACAAAAGATGACACATCTAAATAATATTAACTTACAGGTAAACCACTTGGTTGAACGGAATGACCTCAGCAAATATTTAATATTTCACCAAGAAATGTTTATAATTGGTTCTTACAGGTAAGACAATTAGGTATTGTTAACAAACCAATAATTCATTAAAGGCGTCATCCAGATGTGTTCGGGCGGTCGACTACAGATAACCAGTGTGTCCCAGCAGTCTTGAGCTGTCCTCCCAAACTGTGTAACTCTCCTGGGACGCAGCTCTTAATATTATTCCTCTATCCCAGTCCATACTTTACCCTCTGTTACACCCATTAATACTTCTACCACTACCCATCACCCCTAACCACATGGTCACTGTATCTTTAATTTCATTATTCTAAAAATTTCCATTAAATCTTTCTGTAGTTATGGAATAATAATTTTGTGTCCAGCTTCAGCATCAACACAATTTACTTTTTTGAGAAAGACTTAAGTGACAGAGGCTTAATAAGGCCGATGTGTAAAGTGACTTAATATAAATTATATAATGGAGAAATAAACTCCTGCCTGTAAACCTTATTTGTTTTTTCTATTATAAAACCTTGAGTAAAATGAATTTGAAGACACAAGAATATATGCCCGGGTTCTCGCGAGATTCGTAATATTGCCAAAATGTCCATCTCTGTGCATCCTACAGATCGGGTGGATAAGAAGAGAATATAAATCGTGCAGAAAAATAAGCCGCAGGCCATCAGAGGCCCCTGTAGTTTCTGGGCTACTCCTCCCGCCTGTAGTGTGTTTACCCTGGGTGCAGTTTAGTAACCTGACCTAACATAAACTATCCTAATCTAATTTAACCTAAACTAACCGAGGCTAACGTAACGTAATCTAACCTATTCTAAGCTAAGCCAAGCTAAGTTAAGCTAACAATATGTTGACATAATTATATTAGTTAAAAGACGCACATATTTTACGAATTTTATTAATACATATTTTCAGTAATATTTATAAAATGTTTGACAAATCAAAATTGGTACTAGGAAACAGAATATAATATTGGTAATAATTACACTAGATGACGTTATTGTGAGAGAAATGGTCTTATGATCTTCAAAACTATACATGTACTGTATAACTGATGCAATTGACTCTCCTCGGGGTAAGAGTATACGAAGGATGGACAACATCACCAATGTACGGATAAACAACATTTATTCGGTAGCGTCTCGTCAAGTATCTCTTGTCGTCATCAGACCTAAAACGTAAAATGAAATATACAATCATGAAAAATACACTATTTGACCAATACAAAAATAAATACATCACTCAGTACATTAAGTGCCTTGAGAAAATAAATACATTGAACATCAAACCATTGAGTTAACAATTGTTAACCTTTACTTCACTGTATTTATAAAGGTGTAAAAAAAAACACTAAATTTAATAAAACCTTAGATCCTACATATGAATATACAAATATTAATAAATATGTAATAACTATATTTTGTTCTTCCTTATTGTAAATTTGGTGTTCAAGGGATGCTTTAGGATGTGTTGAAGACATATTAGAAAAGTTACTAGAATTATCATTAGAGGTTTTGGGTGATTCAAGGAAATATTGTAGCCATAACGACCAGAAGTAAGTGCTACTGTATAACTAGTAAGCTGGAGACGACCACAGGATTACTTAAATGTGACCTTCGTCCAGTGTGGAGAGGGAGTGGGGGACCTTCCTTCCTTCCCATTACCCCTTCCACCTAGTGTTCCACTCTCTGTGCTTGTTTACCCTCCCCTCCCCCCTACCCACCTAGGTATCCCGGGCCGGTGTGCGGGTATATATAGCTGGTCCCAGGCAGGTAGCGGCATCCTCAGCTGATCCTCACAACGACAACATGAAGCTCGTGAGTACTGGCCAGTTTCACACACACACACACAAACAGGTTACATGCAGTAGACTGTTTACCACAACTGCGTCTACTTCATGTGTTGATACAACTGGATTTCAGTGAGGTGAAGATTGTCCGAGAGGAGGCTCTGCAGCTCTCCAGAAACGATAATTTTTTTGGATCTAATTATTACCGTATGAACATAAATATACCTGCTTATTAGAATTGTAGATATTAGACCTCCTGTTTAAGCAGTCAATAAGCTAAATCATTGATATGAGTGTAAATTAAACTGCCACACTTTGAGGATTATAAGCTCACTCACGCGTCACCACACTGGAATATAACAAAGGTTTATTGCGTTAGGCAGCAATAATAGCTACTGTATCAAACAAATACATATTAAGAAGACGGATACAGTACATCAATTTAAAATAAAAACAGCTTTTGGCAAATTCACAGATGTATAAAGAAAGAGTGTTAGAGGAGGCCACACTTACGTGACTTTTCAGGAAGAGCCACAATACCCATCCGTTTTCCTTCTCCTCCTGATACAGACACTCTTCGTCTGCCTCGTCGCCCTGGCCGCCGCCGCCCCTGACAGAGACGCTCAGACCCTGACGGATGAGCGTAGCGACCAAGGAGACGGAAACTTCCGCTACGAGTTTGAAACCAGCAACGGAATCTACACCCAGAAGACAGGTACCCCAGGCTCCGAGGGCCAGAGCAACCACCAGGGCTCCTTCAGGTAGGTCCTACATTATGGAAGCTGAAACACTTACGGTTAAAATTGTACCATATATTTTATGTGTTATTAATTCGTGGTAATAATGGTAAATTAAAATTTCTTCTAAAACAACGTGACTCCTTCCTCAGGTTCACCCTTGAGGACGGCACCATCGCTGAGGTCACCTACATCGCAGACGAGTACGGCTACCAGCCCTCGTCCGATCTGCTGCCAGTGCCCCCCCCTGCCCCTCCCCATGTCCAACGGTTGCTCGAAATCGCTGCGGAACAACGAGCTCAAGGCATCACCTTCGATAAGAAATAGGTTGAATGTAGACCTATTCCTCGACCTCTGTCCTTCATCGACCTTTCTGTATATAGTGAACTCGTGACCGCAGTTTTGGGGTATCCTCCAGCAAGCATGCCAGACCTCTGGACACAATCCAACGATATCACAGGCGTACAATAAATGTAAACTTTGCATTATGTCTCTGTTTACCCTTTGGCAATCTTGAAGATTCTTTTAAATCTGTGAAACACATTACACATCAGTAATAGAGCACGTCTTAGTTATATCTGTCTAATAAGAAAACAACAGACAAAGGAGTTGCTATAATGTCTAATGATATAAAACCGGAAGTGCTGAAACAAAAGATGACACCTCTAAATAATATCACCTTACAGGTAAACCACTTGGCTGAACGGAATCATCTCAGCAAATATTTAATATTTCACCAGGAAATGTTTATAATTGGTTCTTACAGGTAAGACAATTAGGTATTGTTAACAAACCAATAATTCAATAAAGGCGTCGTCCAGATGTGTTCGGGCGGTCGACTACAGATAACCAGTGTTTCTCAGCAGTCTTGAGCTGTCCTCCCAAACTGTGTAACTCTCCTGGGACGCAGCTCATAATATTTATCCCAGTCCATACTTTACCCTCTGTTACACCCATTAATACTTCTACCACTACCCATCACCCCTATTTTTCTTCTATTAAAAAAAACACATTAAATCTCTTGGTAGTTGCGTAATTATTTGCTTAGAGAACAATCAATAGACAACAAATATAGGTTCAATAGCGTCTACACCCTAACCCAATCCAACCTAAGCTAACCTTAAAAATAATGAATGTTCATATAACATTAAAGAATAATAAACTCTCGAGTCTGAGGGAAGTTGATTGTGAGGAATGTTGATTGTGAGGGAAGTTGATTGTGAGGGAAGTTGATTGTGAGGGAAGTTGATTATAAGGGAAGTTAATTGTGACAGAAGTTGATTGTGAGGAAAGTTGATTGTGAGGGAAGTTAATTGTGAGGGAATTTGATTGTGAGGGAAGTTGATTGTGAGGGAAGTTGATTGTGAGGAGAGTTGATTGTGAGGGAAGTTAATTGTGAGGGAAGTTGTTTGTGAGGGAAGTTGATTGTGAGGGAAGTTGATTGTGAGGAAAGTTGATTGTGAGTTAAGTTTATAATGAAGCAAATCTCACAAGGAGAAGATTACATATAGGTAGAATATTGATAGTAAGAGAAATGTAAAGAGAGGAAGACTTTGGTAGCGTGGCCGTGATAGTTATTTGAACTGCTTACACTTATCTTATACGTCAACACACATCTATTACGTTCTTAAGGACGACTTCTCAAACACCGCTTCGTTACAACTGTTTATTAATCACGAACATGATATGGACACATTAATAACACCTTCTATTGAAGTTACTAGGACATTATATTTACGTTACTAGGACATCATATTACGTTACTAAACACTCTGATTCTCGGACACGAACATGAAATGAATACACTTCCCACGTAAGTAACTCATCCCATGGAAGCTCTGACAAAAACTCACGTGACCTGGGGAAGGCCTAGCAGGTGGTCCTGGGTTGTCTCTATGGGAGACTGCTTAGCTGGGCACCGGAGGGAAGTCTCTCTCCTGACCGGAGGCGACCGCCTCGGGTCCTCTCTGACTCGTCTCGAGCGGGACTGGGGACGTAGTAGCTGGCCCTTCCTGGTTACAGGACACACTCTCTCGCTCTCTCTCGAGGGAGGGTTACGAAGTCCTATATATTGGGAGACGTCAGGTTGAGCTGATCGGGGGGGCGGCGAAGGGTCTCCTTACATTTGCCCTCGCTAATGTAGGGTCAGGTCTGGACTTTTTCAGAGACTATAAGTTGTTGTATATTCTGGAGAAATCTTCAGATGAATGCTTGTCTGTTAACATCGTTGGTGGGGCCGTGTGACATGAGAGGCTCTGGTTGATTTGTGGCCCCTTGACTTGGGTTGCGAGGGTTACATTTGACCTGGCTAATGTGAGGTCAGGTCTGGACTTCTTCTGCGATGTAGGTTATTGTGTATATTGGGAGAGAGTGGGCAGGTGCCTTCTTACATGTTTGTTGGGGCCTTGTGACATGGGAAGGGGAGCTAGTTGATTTATAACCCTTGGGCAGCCGCGAGGTGTTACCCTTACACTTGACCCCCCTAATGTCGGGTCAAGTCTGGACTGTTTCTGAGATGTAAGCTGTGGTCTGACAACCCATCACTACAAGTTGATTGTGAGGGAAGTTGATTGTGAGGGAAGTTAATTGTGAGGGAAGTTGATTGTGAGGGAAGTTGATTGTGAGGGAAGTTGATTGTGAGGGAAGTTAATTGTGAGGAAAGTTGATTGTGAGGGAAGTTAATTGTGAGGGAAGTTGATTGTGAGGGAAGTTGATTGTGAAGGAAGTTGATTGTGAGGGAAGTTGATTGTGAGGAAAGTTGATTGTGAGGGAAGTTGATTGTGAGGGAAGTTGATTGTGAGGGAAGTTGAGTGAGGAAGTTGATTGTGAGGAAGTATTGTGAGGAAAGTTGATTGTGAGGGAAGTTGAGGAAGTTGATTGTGAGGGACGTTGATTGTGAGGACGTTGATTGTGAGGACGTTGATTGTGAGGAAGCGTTGATTGTGAGGGAAGTTGATTGTGAGGGAAGTTGATTGTGAGGAAAGTTGATTGTGAGGGGAAGTCTTGATGAGAGGGACGTTGATTGTGAGGGACGTTGATTGTGAGGACGTTGATTTGATTGTGAGGGAAGTTGATTGTGAGGGTTGATTGTGAGCGAGGAAGTTGATTGTGAGGAGGAAGTTGATTGTGAGGGAAGTTGATTGTGAGGGAAGTTGATTGTGAGGAAGTTGATTGTGTGAGAAGTTGATTGTGAGGAAAGTTGATTGTGAGGGAAGTTAATTGTGAGGGAAGTTGATTGATTGTGAGGACGTTGATTGTGAGGGTTAATTGTGAGGGAAGTTGAGGGAAGTTGATTGTGAGGGAAGTTGATTGTGAGGAAAGTTGATTGTGAGGGAAGTTAATTGTGAGGGAAGTTGATTGTGAGGGAAGTTGATTGTGAGGGAAGTTGATTGTGAGGGAAGTTGATTGTGAGGGAAGTTGATTATGAGGAAATAACAGCGTAGAAAGGGAGACTGAATATCCTTTAAAGAAAGAATATTAAAAAAAAAAATACTGTAATATATCTCTCACTACAAACACAACAATTCTTTAAACATTCACGATTTTCCGATTATTTAACGTCCCAAATGTTCCTTCCTGTACATAGTGTAAATATCGTAAGAAAGGAACGAAGAATCTGACTGAGAATCTAACTATATGAGTAAAAAAAAAAAAAAATCTATGCGTTTTTTTTTAGTATAGATTACATAAAAAAGAAAATTATACATATTTCTGGTGAATACTTTGACGGGCAGAATTTCCCCAAATGTACCCCAGGCCGTCTGAAGTCCCTTTGCATTCTAGGCACATAAGACAACTCCTCAACCTGTAGTGTGTTCACCTCGGATACAGTGTATATTCTTAACCTAACCTAACCTAACCTAAGCTAAACTAACCTAACCGAACCTAATCTAATCTAATCTAACCTAATCTAACCTAACCTAACCTAACCGAACTGAACCTAACCTATGCTAACCTAACCGAACCGAACCTAACCGAACCGAACCGAACCGAACCTAACCTAACCTAACCTAACCTAAAAATATGTAAATAAAAATTATAACCCAAGAAGAACTGTAACATGTACAGAGGAACCTTCACACACATCCACAAAAGCATACAAATTGACACACACTGCGAGTGGTGAAGAATTCTGATGAGAGAGGGGAGGAGGGAGAGAGGAAAGGAAACAGAGAGAGAGAGAGAGTGGGAGATTGAAAGGGAAGGAGAAAGGGACGGAAACAGGTAGAGAGGGGGAGGAAAGGGGGGAAGGAGGAGGGAGGGAAGGAGGGGGAGAGAGAGAGAAAGAGAGAGAGATTCTTCACTCTTTAGATTCAAAACAAAACTCGTTGCACTTTAGCTATATCCCAATTAACGGAGAAACAAAATCAACAACAAGAAAGTGTGTCACAGGACTTACTCCCCCGTGTTCCTCCTACAGGTATTTCTCGCCTGCCTCGCCTCCTTGGCCCTCGGCCTTCCTCAGCGTAAAACTCGCGACGTAGATGCTGTAGTTCTGACGGACGAGCGAAGCGACCAAGGAGACGGAAACTTCCACTACGAATTTGAAACCAGTAACGGAATCTACACCCAGAAGACAGGTACCGCAGGCTCCGAGGGCCAGAGCAACCTGCAGGGCTCCTTCAGGTAGGTCCTACATTATGGAAGCTGAAACACTTACTGTTAAAATGGTACCATATATTTTATGTGTATTATTAATTCACTGTAATAATGTTAAGAGAAAGTATCTTCTAAAAAAACGTGACGCCTTCTTCAGGTTTCACCCTTGAGGACGGCACCATCGCTGAGGTCAGCTACATAGCGGACGAATATGACTACCAGCCCTCGTCCGACCTGCTGCCCGTGGCCCTCCCTGCCCCTCCCGAGTCATACGCCTGCTCCAAATCGCTGCGGAACAGCGAGCTCAGGGCATCACCTTCGAGAGGAAATAAGTTAAAAGTTGAATTACTCCTCAACCTCTCTCTCTCTCCCTCACCGACCTTCCTGTGAACTCGTGACCGCAGACAAGTGTACAATAAACGTAATGTTTGCATTATGTCTCTATTTATCCAGTATACTTGTTAACATCATGATGTGTATATGTATTATTCGGCCTTGGGTACGTAAGTATTATTACGTAGCAACTGAACACAAGAAAAGTACTGTGACATTTCACCATATAACTCCCCAAATTTTTAACTGATTAAGGTACAGTATTCAAATTAGGTTACGATCGGAAACATGTAGAATATGTAAAATATCCCAAACACTGGAAGTAGACGCGTTGGGGATCTTACAAGCAAAGTTGAGTGTTTGAAGCAGCCGCAGCTAATGACTTTATAAAGTGGTGGTGCAAAGTGATGACGTTACATGATAATAAGAAGGATCATGGAAGAACTGAGACAAGTGAAAGCTTTTTCGTTCATGTTCCAGCTTATGTGTGCAGGTGGGGTTGAGGCAGGCTGAGTATCACTATATACCAATTCCTGAACAGCAAAATTTTGGA